GGTGTTGTTGTTGTTTGGATGGAGAGCGCAGTCTCAGAATTGTGAACTTATTAGTCACAGCAAAAAGTCTGGGAATGAGACCCACGGCCAGTCATGAGGCAAAATGTCATTTCTGAGTTTTTTTGTCCACCAAGCTTTAAAAATGACATTATCTAAAGTTTTGACAGTTTAAAGTCTGGACGTCTGGACTGCAGAGGCGTCTGCCACCAAATATAAAAAGCAAAGTCATAGCAAAAAAATCTGAGTAGGAGTTTTTGTAGAAAGAAAGCTTTGACATATAGTGTCATGTTTGCTTATGAAAAACTTGTCTATGTGACCTAGAAAACTACAGTAAATAAAACTAGGCTACAGTCCGTTTGAGGTTAGTCACATTCATGTTTGACAAGAGATTACAGTGACATTTATAGTAGAGCTGATGTTCAGACAATATCAGCTATAGATAACAGCTACTCTAAGTGGTACAGAACTGTCTATATTTATAAATGGTCAAAAACGCTGAATATGTCTTAATTCAAGTTGTGTTTCCATAAGTGAGATTTCCAAAAGGGAGCAATTTTGCAAAAGTAAAGTTAAATTATTTTTCAGTTTGTACCATGGAGACATCTCCAGAACTAAGAAATGAAACCAGTGTTTGAGTGCCAAACCCTGCAGTTCCTTAAATGGCCACTAGAGGAAGACCCCGACAGCGAGACTCACATGGTAAAATGCCCAACAGATCACAGACATGTTCACAGCATGCTACAAAATATGATTTTGCTCACCAACAGTCAACTGTCATCCTATCATGGTTAGTAAAATTGCAATATCTAATCTGTATTTTGCTTAGCGCTAAATCTTGATAACAAAGCTCACCATTAGCCATTAAGTGTTAACAAACAAAAGAAAAATCCCCTGAAAGCTGGAACCCAGATCTGTGACAGCTTTATACAAGCAACACCAAACCACTTGTAACTTTATAGATAACAAAGATTAGAATTTTACCCCTTATCTTTGTTATCTCTACCATGGGCATAGCTATCTGACTATGAATGGCCTGTGTGGAGGTGCTGTGTTTTTAAAAACACGAGATACTCGAATGTTCTCCGTGGCAAATATTGCACAATAACTAGAGTCTTCTGAGAGAGAAAAAAAA